CGACAGATCATTTGACATTAATATTTCGTGTCATTCACTCTTCTCACATTATTATATTTTTTTACCAAAATTTAATACTAAAAGATAGTAATTAATTACTTATTTTAAGTATTAAATTAGCCAATATTAAATTAGATTTTTTCAAAGAACTCTCAAACAACGTTTCAAATAATTTCGATAATAATAAAATTTTATGATAGATGGTATAAATATAAAGAAAAAAGAAAAAAAGAAAAAAATGATTATTAATTTCTTTACTCTATAATTTATTACTAATATTACTATACAGCTTAAATTGTTTTATAAAAAAAACAATCCGTTTCAAAGCTGAACACTTCAGCACGTTTTAGCTTTTTAATTGCTTTCACTGAAGTAATAAGAGAAGATGGACAATGTCCTTTGGTTTGTCCGGTTGGCCATCCGTTTATTGAATCATCTGCTAACGAGTTTAAATTTCATCCACGTCCGTCCAACGACGGTAAGCAAGAAGTTAATTAAATCGTCCGTTATCCATCTTGACTAAAGGATCGACAAAAAAGCTTTTACTCGCTTGGATGACTCTGTCTACTCTCATCATTCCTGCAAGGATAAGAGATACTAATAAATCCTTTATTTTTACATATAATTATATACGCATTTAGACATAATTATATTAAATAAAAAAATTAAATAATTTTTAAATTAAAAATGGCAATAACAGCGTTTCAGTTATAAATATTATATATTTATAAATCTTTTTAAAATACATTATTTATAAATGTGACCATTAAAATCTATTTTTTAAGACATATATTTTATACATACGATAAAATATATAATATGTTTGAATTCTTTATAAATAAAAGAGCTAAAAAAATCGCATTTACAAAAACTTCTTGGAATAAAGTAAGCAGATTCCAAGATTATATTTTTATCAATCACATATATTTTTTTAACGCAACTCTGTTTGAAGACTTATGGATTTTATAAATCTCTCCTTTTTCACGCGAATACGGGCTTTCTCACGCGTTTCGACGACCGTTTAGTGCGTCCTCGAGAAGCGAGCGCTTCTGACCACTGCTTCGTGGGCCACCCCGAAATCCTGGTGAAGCGTGCTCCATTTCACGGTTGTTTCGTAAGAAGCAGGCTGGGCCGCGGTCCTTTGAAACCCACCACTTCGCGGCGAAGATCTGAGGCAAGCTGCCGAGAAAGGATTTTCGCGCTCTTGAGCCCTCAATTCCTCCCCTTTTCGACGGGATCCTTCGATGGGCGCGATATTCTCTTTCGATTTACCCAACTTTCGGAAATATCGATCCGGCCGGGTCCTTTTGATCTTTAGAACGTAGCCGATGCGTCGAAGAGAAGAAAGTTATGAGAGGGTGGATTTCCTTATTTTTCTTTCCGACGGCATACCCCTCGTGAGAGCTTATTAAATACCAATATCACATCCGGGTAACGGATGAATCATCAAACGGAGATATGAAGGAAGCAGGAAACATTGTATATACAATATACATATAGGTAGTAGATACAGAAAGTCACCGTTATGTCCTCGAAGAATTTAAAAGGATTGAAAGAAGAGAGGTTGGATCGCTTGGATACCTGCCACTTTGCTTAACAGATGAGTTTATTTAGAGCGATTTAAGGGTTCAAGAATTCTCTGGCGCTTATTATAAAATATTGGCGTCATTCATCACTAAACTTCGTAAAACCATATAACGAAATTTTATTACAAGATTATTTAAGACAGAAATACTTATGTTTACAAAGAAATTCATATTTTTAATTACGCATTTATTAAATTGAAATCAAACATAATATTTCAGGATAAAAAAAATGCTTTTATTTGTTACGATGATCTATTATTAATAATTTCTCTACAGAAATATTAGGAAGAAAAAAATATCCGTCCCTTAAGCCATAATCTTTACATACGACATATGTCTTTATTCCGGAAAACGATTGGCAAGAAACGAATCGGTATCACGCTCGACATTTCAATTTTTTTATCGTTCGCCGCTTCCGGAAGGTGGAAAAAAAGCTTCCGTGGGACAACTTGCAGTCGGCAGACGGTTTTAACACGTTAAGGACCAAGTTACGCATTTTTCACGGTGGTACGAAGCGAGGGGGAAGCGCAGTGCCCAGGAAAATTGAAGTCACGACGACCATGTCGAATCGATTAGAATGCGGTGTACGGGGGTGCTCGTCCACCTTTGTGAACCACCGAACGTGTAATTTCAAGGTATTTAAGCTGCTTAACGAGATTTTTATCCCATTTACCCATTCCTAAAGAAATAAGATCATATTAAATATTAAATGTTTTTACATAACTTTGAAATTATTTTTAAAAAAACGTGAAGATTTTTTTAATTCCGCTGAAGAAGTAATATAAAAGACGTATTTATATATCTTCAAATTAAAATTGTTTTTATATTTTAGTAAATTGTTTTTAGCATTAAATTTTTTAATTCTTTTATTTTTATTTTAAAATAGCTTTCATAAAAAAGAAATATAATTGTATTTTTATATTCTTATTTTTATAATAGAAAAGTGCAACAATGATAAATGCAATATTTAAAAATGGACTTAATATTATAATATTAAAAATAGTCTAAAACTTGTATTTTTTTAATGCTTATTTATACACTTTTATATTATTCAAAATGTTCTCTTATGAGATAAATGCATGTTATCATACGATAATCTTTTTCAGCCAATTGCCTGGAATCATATCATACTTTACCTTTGCCTTGCAAACTATCCCACGCGACACGTGTCGGTCACGTGGCGGAACCAGAACTGTAATAGTGCATCTCTATGCGTATATTTGCCCACAAAGTGCGTATCAATTTGATCAAGAATTGCCTGCAGATAACGGGTAGCTCGATAAAAAAAACCAGACAGTGATAAAATAATAATCCGCTCATCTGCAGCTTCAAAGTGTCACGTGGCGATATGAGTGGCTTTAAAAAAATTATCAAAAAAGAGAAGAATAGGATTTAAATAAAATACCGTATAGATGAATAGGTGTTATTTCGGTACTTGGATATCGAATAACTTGATCCATATGTCAATGGAAAGCAAGCATCGATTTGGATGAAATGTCGTTCATTTATAAAATATATTACGTATAAAATAATTTTTTATTATAAAAAAATGTCAAAATAAATTTAATCTAATAAATAAGAAGTATGTTTTTTCAATATGCAAACCATTATGATATAAATTCCTATATATTCTTAATTAATAAAGTAATAAATAAATGAATCATCACAATCTTTAAAAAATATTATTTTATTAATAATTAAATAATGAATTCATTTTACATTATTTATATTCTATGTATAACTTATCATATGTCAACTTTTGAAAAAATGCAAATACAATATATAAATTAAAGAAACTTTAAAACATACATAAACTCTCAGGCCTAATCAAAATTTTGCTTACTCTATACACAAATAAATAAAAAATTTCACTTTATAACTTAACAATACAAAACTTTTTGACATTACAACCTAAAGAAAGATTCCAAAAATATTAATCTAAATCAAAGTTACAGCCTATCAAAGTTACAAACAGAGCTTGAACATGTATTTGAAATACTTTTATTTGAAAAAGTATTTATAAGACAATTGTATTTTATATTTTGTATTTATGGGAGTATATAAAAGTAATTATATTTTCTATTTTAATATTAATTATAATAGATTGAAAATATTTTGTATTTCGTATTCCAAATACTAAGATTGACAATCAATCATATGATTTGATTACAAAAAACTTTCAATCTTTCGATTTTTAATATGAAATAATACTTTTATGTGCTCCGCTGAAATAAAAAATACAAAATATGCTTGTATTACAAATATTGTGATTTAAATAAAAATATTTCAAATACATGTCTAGCCCTGATTATGTAAATCTTCTCACAGATTCATATGTGTTTTTAAAAGAAATTTTCGGAAGATATGTGTCCCAGGGTTAAACTAAATCCTATATAACTACAAACTATACAAAATATATGAATCCTTAACTGTAGATAATTTTGTTGATAATTATGTTTTACAATTAGCGTTCTATTCTTAAAATAACAGCTTGAAATAATAAATTTCCAGAATTTGTACTTATAATATTAATGTTCGAATTATCTAATCAATATTATACCTGGTATTTAATTAATTAGATACCTGGATTTAAATATTATAATATAATATAATATATATTGTATATATATAATTATAATATTATTATATTATATTTTATTTTATACATTATATTATATTATATTATTTTTATTCTTACATACTTGTTATTTTTTTTAATTTAATTTTTTTAATTAATTATTTCAGATAATTTGAATATTATATTACTTGAATATTTATAGTATTTACAGCTGTACATATAGTAAAAAACATTTTGTACTTGTGCTAGAAATGGTCCATTCAAGTCCTTATTGAAGTTTGTATTGAATTTTTAACATATTTGAGTGTTAATTTAACATAATGTGATTATATTATTTAAATATTTTGCATTAAATTGATGTTCAAGATTAATCAAAGTGACACAATTTATAAGTAAGTAAAGTACCTAAATATAAAATTTTAAAACGTAAATTCTACAACGAATGAATGAAAATACCTGTTAATTTAATAAATATTAATTTTACTGAAAAAATATCTACAATTTACTTACAAATTGTGTCAGTGTTACGTTTTTTTGTATTAATTTATTTTACGTAATATCTTTGTATCATACACTTTGTAACATATTTATCTTATCTTACAATTAACATAAAAATTTTGAATGGACTATTTGAAACACATAAAACGTTAAATTTAACATAAGTTTTCCGATTATGTAATGCAAATATTACAAAACATTATAAAATAATAGTTATAAAGAAATAAAAGAATCTATTTATTTGCGATATTAGTTCAAGTAAAATAATTAATTAACCTAAAAATTATTTGTTTCTAGGAAAATTGATATTTCCTTCGTCAAAAATGCTTATATGCTCGTCCATCAATTCTAATTCATTTAAGGCATCAAGACTATTGATGTTGTTTTCAGAAATTATTGAAATTCAAAACTGAAATGTACTCATATCTGTTGAAACCGAATTGAAATCGAATGTCCATACGATTAATTAATTAAAAAACTGGAATATAAATTTAATTAATCATTACAACATAATCAAAATTCAAATTATATTGCAGTAACATATTTATAACTATCATTATACAATTATGATTGCTCCTTGAGAACACTGGTACAACCTTTAAATATTCAATATGTATTTAGAAATTTAAAAACATAAACATTATCGCGAGAATCGAACAAAAAACCTCACTGTACCCTATGTTCGTTATATATACATATTTAAACGATTTGGTAACAACTAATTTGGTAAGAACTAATATTCATAAATTTACCATTGTCATAAATTTTCCATTGTCGTCTTTTGATTTCCTTCAGCTTGCAGATGTGTACCAGTCTAATAAAATAATATATTCGGGTTATGGCAGATCTTGCATTTTGATTTATAATTTAATTTGCGCAGTATATCACGATAACACATACATTGTTCGTATTTTTTTTTACAAATATACATATCAGGTGTCATTTTAATACCATTTTATGATCTTTGTTCGTTGTATCTAAAAAGAAAAACAATTTACAAATCAGAAAGAGAGGGAGAGAGAGAGAGAGAGAGAGAGAGAGAGAGAGAAAGTGAAGATTATAAATGCAAGAAATGCAAGAAACGCAAACAGATATATTGAAATTTATCTTCCTCTTTGTCTGAAATATATATATATCACTATACCTGCAGCTGTTTCAATTACTTACAATTAAATATGAATGATGACTATTCCATAAAGACAATTTAAGTGCATTTCCACTATTAAACTAGTACGAAAAACTTGATACAAATTGTATCCTATTATGCAAAATCCAATTTTCTTGCATATTCTTGTGATCTGCCATTATGTCCGTACAGTATCTCAGAATCTGAATCACTAAATACGACACAATGTATGCTACGTATAAATATTCTCAGAAAAGGTCGAAGTAACATGGATTCTCTTTGAATGTAAACATAGAGCGCGTTCAAGTTGACAAAACGGCTAGCCTGCTCGCCAAGCAAATAAACATAATTGGTTGTTACTTATAGATCCAACCAATCATATACAAGTACAATCGTTCGGTAAACATGCCTAGTTGCTTTGCCATCTTGAACTCGTCCATAGTTTCACTTAACGGTCAACCAGCAAGAAATGATAGATCGGTCGATATTAAATCAACATCGATGTTAAATCAGTATCAATTTAATATTTGTATCAATTTAATATTTGTCGACAAATTATTTCTGACTAAGAAATAATATTATTTCATTTGTAATTATTCAATCATCATTGCAAAGAGTTCAGTTCTTATATAATATAATATTCACATCGCGCCGCAATATTAATTTATTTTAATAAAATTTATCAATTTTGTGAAATGAAATGGTAAAGAAAAATATGCGTAAATAATATGTCACTAATTAAACATGTACAATGTTTGATTACGAGCAAACATATTTTTTAAATACTTTATTAAATATATAAGGTAGTGAGAGTATTTTGAAGATGACCTGGCGCAATTAATCATCACGCTTTTTCACGCCTTCGTTGTATTTCCCACCGTTATCAACCGCGTGTCCATTGATCGCATCCGCCATCGATCTTCTTTAAACGGGTATCTCAAGTTAACGCGATGAACGGCCGGCGATCACGTGCGGCTTGCGTGCATGTGAACGAAACAAGGAGTGAGCGCGAACGAATGCCTTCGCCACGTGTTGGTATCACCAACCCCGAATACGGTGACACGTGTCAAACGAGCAACGTGTAAAAGTGAGCGTAATTGAGATATCATAGTCGAATGAGAGATTCTTGGCTAATCTCGGCGGTTTCACACCACGGCCACACGCACGTGCGGCCGCCACGTGTCGTCTGTTCGCCTGGCATGTTTGTTATTTGTGGCACTTGGCGCGTCGATTAGAGTAATTAGCATCACAGCGACTGGAAAGCGTAACTAATATTTGAGCGAATATTCTTTAACTCTGAATTATTTACGCTTGTATTTAACTGCATTATCATTAATCTTTGCGTAAGAGAATATCTTCGTTTGGAAGGTCTTAATAAATTTAAAATAAAAAAGAATGTTAATTAAATATTATAGAATTGATACTGCGTGCTTTTGTATTCTTTATGTTACATTACGATAGTTTTTTCAAGATGATGATTTTATCTCTTGTTTTCTACAAAAGGCTATAATAATTAAAAGATTTTTATTTCTGCTTTCAATTGTATAGAACACACACAATAATGTAAATATTTTTTTAGGTGTATATACGTTTAAAATAAATCTTTTTTTAACTGAGATATTCTTGTTTTAAAATTGTACACAAAAATGATCCGATTGATGATTCAACAATACTGTGATCAGAGGAAACAAAATAGTACGACGATGGATTGAGCGCAATTGAATGGGATCGCCAGAGGATATTGGAGCAATCTGTCATGTGTAAATGTTTGCAGCACGTGATACGCCCATAGCGGTTTGCAAAAGAGTTTAATTAGAACGCTCACTCTATTGAATAGTTTGCACAACTATTTAAGCACGTATACATAAATGAATACAGATAGAGATAAAATAAAATTTAAACAATTAATCTTTTGTTCTCCATTATAAACTAAACGTTTTACTACATGTTAATTCCAAATGAAAATTGTAGAAGCATACGATAAAAATTTTAAATATCTTTTTATTAAAAAATAAATAATATATTAAATGTTTTATTATTATTAATATATTAATTATTTTTTGTTATTAATATTATTAATATATTTTAAAAATGATTTATTAGAATTTGTTTTAAGTTTGAATTTTTATGTGCGATACCATTTAATTTAAATTTTCTTTTATAGAAAAAGAAACAGTTTTCTTTTATAATACATAAAATTTAGATAAAAATTTATATTTGTTAAACATTATTAAGTTGTTATATTTAAGAGATTTATACACAAATTAGAATATAAAATAAATATAAAACAATGAATTATATAATATATATAAGAAATTTTAAATAAATCTTAGCTTTTTCTTTTTTTGCTTTCTTTCTCTCTCTCTCTCTCTCTCACTCTCTCTTTTATCCATTAAATAAATTATCACATAATTCATTCGAAGGCAAAACAACTGGCAAAACAACTTTAATTTACAAAATATAGAAGAAGGATATCATTTTATATCGAATCTATTGCTCGATATTGAAGCTATAGAAATGAAAAATTACATCGAGTTCTGTTTGATATTGGAATCTTAAGCGTTAAATGCCATCTAGGAAAGCAAAGAGAATTAATTAAAAATTATTTTTTAGATTATTTTAATCTTTTGAACTGACTTACACAGATCTCAGTGACGTCGTGTAAAAAGATTGAATGAGAAGAGAACAGAAAATACTGCAAAGTTGTTACATAAAAAACCATTTTAGACGATCACAGACGTAACGTCATTGTCGTAATGTGAATACGTACGGCTTCAATCGTTTCGTGCTCAGGCTATTCACAAAAGCACCCCTGGCTCCCATGCGGATGATCATAGGCGCCCGTACTTAAATCTCATTCAGATAACAGCTCTCCTCTGCGCAAGTACAAACGAGCTCGACGATGAAATACATGCGATTACTTTTCAAAGAGATAATCCGATCGATCGAGATTACAATAAAATATACGAACTAAGGACAAAAATTACCTCAAGATGAAAAAGCTGTGTAATTGCGATAAATCGCTCTATCAATGTCGAACTAATCTATGTTAAGATATAGTGAAAGATGAATCCAATAACTTTCTCTTTCAAAAATACAAACAGTCGAAAAAATACTTATAAATCAAAATGAAGAAGAAGTACAGTCGAATCTAGATCTTAATAATAATACTTCCATATAAATTTTTTTAAGTACATCTTTTATTACTTAAAAAAAATTATATGTGTAAAATTACAATATATATTTACGTATTAATTCGCCTACAAATTATAATTACAATTTTTTCTTAAGATATGTTATTAATATGTTGATACAAACATAAAAATACTATAAATGTAATACGTATATTATATTACATAATATTATAAAAAATTATATGTTTGTATAGAAATTATAAAATATGCTATTGTTATTATAATTTCTCGTCTAATATAAAAATATATGTATTTACAATTAGAGAAGAACTCATTTTTGCAATGTATAGAAGCTCAATTTTTATTTCCTGCACTACAAATTGTACAATTTTTACATATTATTTATGCAATTTTATATTCTTTTTATATAATGCAATTATATAAATTATACACCAAATGCTATCGGACTTAAAATACAATCATAAACTGAATCATAAACTGAAGCTTTAATAATGATGCTAGTAATAATCATCTTAAAATTCTGCAAAGAAAAAATACAGGTTAAGAGTTAGGTCGGCAAATTCGATTTCCGTTAACGGATGAAAGAAGACCACCAGCGGTTACCTGGTCCGGAGGGAATGAAACAAAGCGGTCACATTAGAATCTACTGTGAATCTCATCTGAGTGAGACTGAGATACCTTCCGATCAGATACCTTCCACGGCCAGGTGAGCCAATTCGAGCGAGTAACGCCTTTTGACGTTAACACCAGCCACCTCTTGTGTGCCCCGTGCACCGTAAACGCACGTTGACGCACAATGGCCAGCAGATCGTAATCTTCCGCCTTGGTCCCCAGTTACCAGCGACCATTATCATTATGTTTGTACTCGTGTACTATCATCTTGTTGTCTCATTTATCCGTCGGAGCGTCGCGTCGATGAAAAGAGGACCGGTCTTTCATATTAATTCGATTTTTTTATCGATAATGCGACAACAAATGCATCGATAATAAATAAGGAAAAGACAATAAATAAGGAAAGAATTTTTTTGATGTTTTATTAATAATATTGTTACATACATAATTGGTCTAATGTTATTTATTTTTATTATATACATCTCAATTTTGTGTAAATCATGTGTAAATGAAAGAAGTTTTTCCGTGGTAAACATTTCTTGTTAAATTTTTCATATAATTTTTCAGAATTTTTTCGAATTTCTATATAATCTTACACCTTTTTAGAAAATTTCTTAGATTTTTTAATAAGAAATAAAAGTGCTGAAATAATTTACATTCTACATCTTTTTTTTTAAATTTTTCATGTAAATTCTAAAAATTGTTACATTTATCATTCTATAATTTTTAAAGAACATCTGACAAAGTTTAAGATATTTTTCATAAATTTACAAAACATAATTATATAATTCTTAAAAATAATATAAGATAATATGAGAAATTTTGTTCACCTGGTTCATATTGTAATTCACTATTGTACAATGTAAAATAATTTGTTTGCTGTAATTTTCTCTGATGAGTTACGAGAAAATTACGTTCGCCGAATTCTCGACGCGTGAGTCATTGATTACGATAAAAACGGGATTTACCAACTCATCGCATCGCAAAATCCGAGACGGTCGGACCGATTCGGGAGACAGGAGCTCGTTTCTAGGGAATACTACTCGACGAGGGAGAGGACTCTTTTGTCCACGTAGTCCGCGAGGATTCATCCTCTCCACATCCCGAGGGATACTTCGTGTATTATATTACCGGTCGCCCTCCTAGGAGCGATCATTATCTCTTTAGGAACTCGAGTCCAGGAATATGGGCCAAATAACGTAGGAATTATTAATAATAGCTATAGTATCACTACGCAAAAAATGTATCTTTTCGAGTAATTTATTAAAAAATAATATTTAAACAATGCTCAAATAATTTATAAAATTAATAATAAGTATAGGCTACAAGCCAAGCAAAGTCTTAATGCTGTGTTATTATGAATAAAAAGTTTATTATAACATACGTTTCGACCCTAATTGGGTCATTCTCAATGTTGAAATTAATAATTTTAAAAAATCAACGACTT